GAATAAACCAAAAAGACATACATACATACAGCTGTCTAGCTCGATCTCAGAATCAGGTATACTCGAACTTTCAACTTCTTCGGACAAGTTGAATACTAGCTGACTAAAGCTAGAAAATCGTTGGCTACTATGCTGTATAAGGTTCACATAACCCCAACCAGAGTAGAACTCCTTAAAATCCTCACTCTCCCCATTTTGGAGTATTGCGGTATCATTTGTGCCTGGATGATTAAATCTGACAGAATATCTCTGGAAAGTCTACAGAGGTCATTTACCAAGCATCTACTAGACAAAAAATTCAATAAGGACTATCAGTAGCGTTGCCAGCAATTCCAGCTCAACCCGCTTTGGCTACGAAGATTGAGGCTCCTGTACAGCATGATTTATCAAAACGCCTACTGCTATATGCCTTTCCTCAGAGCTACAGCATAGTTTGACAAGGAAGCTATGCAATAAGGAGGTGCAGAACAAATCTGCGGTCTAACTTTTTCCTTATCAGATATGCTGTCCTGTGAAATAAGTTCCCAGTCCCAATCAGATCGTGTGGGAGCATAACAATCTTTCAGGTTAAGCTCGCCAATTACCTAGACTTAAACGTGATTATGACCCTGTTCTCCTGGGAGATATCACTTGATGACTTGTCCCAGTCACAATCAGATCGTGTGAGAGCGCAACGGCCTTTCGCGTTAATCTCACCAAGTACCTAGATTTGAACACGATTATGACCCATTTCTCTTTGGAGAGATCACTTGATGATTTGTACCAAGAAGAGCCAGACAACCGCTGATGGGTGAAAAAGATTTACGTAGTGTGATACACCCCCAGTGCTGTTACTATACCTTAATCCAACTAGTGCACATTGCGTTGCAACACACCTGTGAGTAAATACATATGCTTGAAGCAGCAGACAATGAACACCACATAACTATTTATCACTCATGTATCAACATGATATTTTTTGTAAAATATGATCTGTGCCAAATATGGACACAGTTTCCCACTTGATGAGAAATATACCTATTATTATTCTTTTACCCATTATTCGACATCATCACTCCTAATGCCATTCAAGGTATTAGCTTCCGAATCGCTGCGATGTCGCTGCTTTTTCTAGTAACTGCGTGGCTAGATAAAGCCAATGCGATCCCCACCTTGCAACAGCCTAAGTTGTACTAATTCAGCACAGGCTTTTTGCAGAATCGTATTATCGTTTGATGCTAGCTGATTTCGAATATTTATGTTTTATCACCAAGTACATCGGCACTTCGTCTTGGTATTTGTGCTCTCCGTCTCATAGTGCAAGCTGTTCTTGAAATAGCTACAAACGTATTAATGCACTTTCTGCCCACTGAACTTCATCCACACGCGTATTCCTGTTCTTTTTGCTGCACAGCTTTGCTTTTTGTGATTCTGAAGGTCAATCGTAAGGGAAATAGTCTGGGCTTCACGTTAGTTTTTGAATTTTTCACACTTACCTTATTGACTCATCGAAACGTCTATGCGGCACCTTCGATCACCATGCTGAAAGTGCAGATAGATTCTTTCCTTTCTTGTTGCTACGAAATGGATGTTTCGGTTTATTCTTATAGTCACTGATTGAAACGGAGGAGCGTGCATGTGAGGATCACCAGACCAGTTCCATCGCCTCTTAGTCACATTGCATGCCTGGCCAACTGCTTTTTCCGCGAATTGCATACCACCAGTCGAGTTGTATTGAAACCTGAAAAAGTGCAGTCGCACCAACCGACTGAAGAAGATTCAAATTACGTAGTACCACGGTTAAGCAAGTTTATCTCAGTCTATATCTAATGCCTTTCAATCATAATCTCAATGAAGCACACAATCAAGGATGCCCCTTAAGCACACATGAATGTTGAATCTTTAGCTTCTGACAATGATAGCTAGTTAACGTTCTCACAAGAGGATAGGCGTACAATAGCAGTTATTAAAACGTTGGCGGCTAATGGCGTTAAAGCAGTCTATTAGTCAAATACTGGTTAGCTAAATCTTATTTGCCAAACAACGTAACAACTCTGCCCAACGAATATGTCGTGGGTTACTTTGCGAGCGCTTGTCTGGTCGCAGAAGTTAACATGCGTTCAAACGAAGCCCTCAATGCCGATGACCAACATTTGGATTTTTAAACGCATGCTGTTCAAAATTCTTGACGTGATTGTCCACCATGACATCAAAAATATCTGCCCTTTCAATCCCGATACATCCGGCTGGATTTTTCACTGTCCTGACAATCGCTTTGGTGCTTACTTAAAATGCCAGGGAGTCACCTGTTAGCATTGCATCCTTGAGTTCCCTTCACTGACTTGCTGATAGCAGTTGCTCTAATCCTTTGATTACGCCGGTGTTTATAGCCTCCATTCTCGATCCTGTTGTCACTTTTTGGCTGTTTCTGTAGGTCAGATGTCTGTTCACAAAGTACATCACACACATTCCCCTAGATTCGACTGATAGCTCATCTTTCACCCATTTCTATGAATCATTACCGGATATTTCTGCTCATTCTATTCTAAGTCTCACCCTCGTATACTTGCTGCAAAAATGTGTTATTTTGCTTTCGTTCATGCAGCGACCTGCGGGACAAGATTGACGTCTTACCTAAATAGTACAGTTTTGCGATACTTATCACGAATTTACACAGGCAATGCGCTGTCGTTTGTGATGTCCAACTTGGGGGTTCATTTTTACTTTCTACTGTCGTTGTGGTCTATCGCGGGCCTCTTGATTGTGTTTTCAACGGTAGGCGCAATACAAGTGGTAGATCAGCGTACTTTACTGCATACTTGGCATCTCATTGCGATAGCCAACCGAAAAGTTTGCTTTTCATCTATCTCGGACGCAAATACAGCAAATAATGTTCCAGTATCGCATTTACTTATTCTTTTTCCATCAATATTCTTTATGTATACGATTTTCAGTTGCCCCAGTAGGACACTCCAGTGGGCTTGACTTTAGTGCGTATCTATCTATTTAGCGCTTGACCAATAGCAGTACAAGTATCAGCGCCACAGTAGAAGCATTCAAACTACTTTGCTTGTCGTTTCTCTGTTTTACCTAATCTTAGTAACCGTAGGCTATATGTGACCCATATACTTGTCTGGCAAGCAGTTCACTTCCGTTCTTCTTTTTGGATCGTATTCGTACTACTCCGAAGTGCTAGCTGCACCTTAGACTGACATCATTCTAACTCTGCTTTACCTGTGTATTTCAATTACTTTTCTCGGGACGCTTTCGCAAATCATGAATTTTTCCAACACTGTCGCAAATACTCTGGTCCTACCAAAGCATTTCATGGCGTGTTCGAATTCTCGAGAGTTACTTACACTAACCGTGTTTATAGGAACCGGCTTCATATGGACACCGTTGGAAGAGTTGCCTGGTATGCCAACTAAAATTCCATGTTTTGCACGGTGATACAGGAGTCTAATTTAAACTAACGGAAAACGCGGACAAATTCATTACTTAGGCCAATCTTCCCAGCCTTCGATTCGCTGTCCGAGCTCTTTGCTGTTCGTATCGGACATACTTAGGTATTGTGTCGAAAGTGGCCTGGATGTGCATTCAAATCTTCATTTTCCGAGGCTGTCACCTCTACTTTCTGCTTGAAGAATCCGACTAACCATGGGACTTGCAAGGCTGTATTATTATATGCGTTGCCAAACTAAACACTAAATATCATCCGGTTCTTATCCTGGGACCTTTGACAATCACACAGTTGAGTTGATTGCATAGATTTCTGAGTTTTGCTTATGCGTACTCTAAGGCAGCGGTTCTTAACCTTTTTGAGGCGGTTACCCACAAATCGTGTTTCCCATAATCAATTACCCCCATTCATCTTACCGTTTCAAAAGGTAATGTCTCGCATTGTCCGTGAATAAAGAATTTCTTTAATAAATATTGCGCTTTTTGCTTTTAATTATTTATAGAAATTCTAGCCATTTGTAGTTACTCTCGAAGATTCAAGTAAAGGAGGATGAACCAATAGGGAAGCAGACAAACATACACTTATGTGTGTATCTCTGGGATTGTGTGCACGTATCTGTCTACACTAGCCGTCAAGCATGCTGGGCTAATACACGTCACTTCCGCCTTATCATGCATTGCGTCAAAACCATATCGATTAGGTAATCTTAGTTCTCGGCCATCCTACGAAGCTGCGTGCTTTGCATAGTTTCGTTAGTGAAGGTCGGTGGTACGTGCTCCGTTCCTCTGCTACTTGTTAATAACCTCCGCACCTTGACTTCGGCCATCTTCCAGCTGGTAAGTGCCTGGCCCACATGCGCGCGTTATTCTTATCGGATCTGATAACGTGGACTGTTCTTTTGATGCAGCGTTTACCTTCACGCGCTGGAGCGGAGTAGTAAGCTTCCGGTAAGTGGTCTGATATGAATGGCGACGATCAAACTCATCGCAATCGGAAGTGCGGCATTCAACTTTGTCCGAAGGGCACGCCCAAGTATGAGTTCAGCTGGCATTTTGTCTGTGGCTTCATGATGTGCGGTTCGGTAAGAAAATACTGCTTGTAGAACTGCATCTTCCCAATCTGTACCAGATAAACGCACAGTTTGGATACTCTCTTTCAAGGATCGATTGAAACGCTCTACTACGCTGTTTGCCGCTAGGTTATACGGAGTTGTACTTATGTATCGAATAGCGTGAAGTTGAAGGAACGAAAGAAACTCGTGGTTTGTAAACTGCGGCCCGTTGTCCGTTACTATCTCCTCTGGCAATCCGAAGCGGGAAAACATGTATTCCAGCCATCGAATAATGCTGGCAGTAGTCACCTCTCCACACAAATGGACTTCCGGCCATTCACTGTAAAAGCATGTCGCCACCAAACAGTTCCTTTGATGCTGGGGCGCTGATCCAAATGGACCCATAACGTCAAGATCTATCTTGCCCACGGTCGCATAGGATAGTCAATGGATTGTATAGGACAGGAAACCGGCCTTAAACTCTTGTCTGCCTTTTGACATGAAAAGCAGTCACGAACAAGTTTTTTTATTCCGTATGGGCCACCAGAAGCATGCGTCAACCTTGCGTTTCGTACGAACAATACCAGGGTAACTTTCGTGAGCACATAGCATGAACTTTTGTGTCAAGCTCCGAGGAGCCACAAATTTTTCGCCGCGCATTAAACCCATCTATAAATGAAGTTTGTGACGCAACACGCAGTACGGACGAAACTCGCCTGTTATCTAGTTATTTTGTGACCAGCCGTTTATCAGAAAACCCTGAACGCGGCAGTGTCTCATCTTCTTGAGTCGCCTTCCGGAGTTCTTCCTTAGTCATAACTGAGAATGGTTCATTACTCAAAGAAGACACCAATAACCTCGCAGTATCATCCTCAATTACTTTCAGTTACGTTGAGTGGCAGTCGAGAGAACCAATCCGCTACCTGGTTTTCGCGTCCGGGACGATATTTTATTTGTAAATCCTGTTAACAAGCTTGCATACCAGCGATGTATCTTAACTGGCCTGATGCTATTTGTTCCCCGAGTAAGTAAGCTAATTAGCGCTGCGTGGTCTGTACGAAGAGTGATGCGTCTTCCGAACAAGAACAAATCCCACTTTTCACAGGCCCAAACGCAAGCGAGGGCTTATTTTTCCCCGGCAGAGTAAGAAAGCTCTGTCGCCGACGATTTTCTGGAATAACTCTTTATGCTCATTCTGAATTTGGGATAGTATTGCACCCAACCCAATGTTTGATGCATCAGTAGAGACAATCGTTGGGCACGTGTCATCGGAAATCGCTATGACTGATGTGGAAGCAATGCGGCATTCTATCTCGTCAAATGCCTTTTGTTGGAAGTGACCCCAAACAAATACAATTTTTTCGTTCGTCAGTTCACGCAATGGCTCAGCAATGTTCGTGAAATCCTGCAGGTAACGTAGGCAGGAGAGCCTATGGTGCGCTGAGGCTGGTAGTGGCTAGATCCTGACAGATGGTCTACCCACTCCTGCTACTGTTGTGCCATGGTCTCACGTCCTGGACACCTCGTGGCGACTGCTTCGTAGGAGTTGGGTTACGCCCTTCTCCCTGCTAAGATCAAGGACACCAATCCGCTGGAGTCAGTGAACTGACCGTGTGCTAGACCCGCTGCCTTTCGGGTGTACTTTTACTCGAAAGCTTTTGCTGAGTACCCGAGTCGTTCTCCTGTCATGTGTGGGCGCCCTACCAGTATCCTAGTCCATCCTCTTCGGAGGTTAGCAAGTGGTCGATGGCCCTCTTCCCGTAAAACCTAGCCATGGAAGCTAACAAGTCTACTGGTTATAAGCTCACAGCTCGATTGGTGTAGAGCACGAGCGCCACACATTGTCTCTGACGGTGACAGGGCACCTCCGGGTGCTCAGTGGTTTGCTACTTCCCGCCTAAAACCAGGCAACCCCTGTTCAAATTGGTGCAAACCCACCTGCGTCTGGCCGTGGTCGCAGGTGCGTATCCTACTACGGTCGCAAAACTTATATGAATCGTTCCAGTACCTGCGTTTGACGGCCGTCAACCAGATCCTAATCTGTCTCTGCAATCACATTCCCGAGCTGGATCTGCCCCTCACTGCATTGTGGGTCAGGCTATTAGGCCAAAGGCTCCGAGCCGAGTCCCTCAAGCAAACCTTCAAATCCTTCACTGCCTTGTGGATCAGGCTATTGGGCCAAAGGCTCCAGGTGGAATCCATCAAGCAAACTTCCGAAGCACAACGACCA